TCAAATATTTTTTTCCCTATAAAATAAAATAAAATAAAAAGAGAGCAACATATTAAACATATTATAGAAATCTGAACATGTACATGTTGGACCAAATTATTTTGACACATCAAATATTAATATACGGTAGCAAAAAGTCAAAACGAAACTTTCAAACAGCTGAAGCGGTCAACGTACAGATACATTTTAGAGTAATTACACTACATACCCTAAGACTGAGAAGTATTTAAGTCAAAGGAGAAGTGACAAACCTGTAAATAAATGATCATTTGAAAACATGACAAAAAGACTAAAATACCCTTAAAATCAAACACTTCATTCTTTCTCCCTTCCTTCTTTGTTTCTCTTTCCTTTTATTATTTATTTTTTTCTTTTTCTTTTTTCTTTACTTTATGAAAACCCCAAACAAATGATTCTTCTTAATTGTGAAACTGATTGCATCTAAAATTATGATATTTTGAATTCATTAAACTCATCGCATTTTTCTGATTAAAATGTACTCCATAAACCTTAAAAAAAAATTCGGTATAGAGACGTCGTATGTTTGGGTGTCGTTCGTTATTATTGAGCTTCTGTTAGAGATGATTTGAGACACCGTCAACCGACGACGCTAAGAACAAATCTAGTGATGGTTAAGCATCTTTGTCTCTCAATTCATTTATCGTCATAGTCTCACATATGTCATCGCCAATATAATTTCTATCCCGTTCACTATCACCACCTTCTCTTCAACCGCAATATATTCTTCATTCACATCACCATCACCTCCTCCGCCACTAACATACAATTCAACACAACCACTACAATGTTAAATTTACTTCACTCACCTATCACATCCACAACAGTCTCTCACTTCCCCGTCCGCCAACAGACTCTCCCTCTCCATCACCACCACTATATCAGATATCGATATATCATGAGATATATTTATAAACCTTGATATATATTTATATATCACTATATTTTAACATATATCATGTTATATATTAAGATATCATGATATATGTTATGGTATATATTGATATATCATGAAATATATTGCTATATCATGATATATCATGAAATATATTGCTATATCATGATATATAGTGAATATCATATCATATCATGATATATAGTGATATATCAGGATATATAGTGATATATTTATAGTGATATATCATATGTAAACAATATTAATAGAATATTACGATGTATAATTTCCATGAGATATATTTATAAACCTTGATATATATTTATATATCACGATATTTTAACATATATCATATTATATATTAAGATATTATGATATATGTCATGATATATATTGATATATCATGACATATATTGATATATCATGACAGATATTGCTATATCATAATATATAGTGAACATCATATCATATCATGATATATAGTGATATATCAAGATATATAGTGATATATCTATAGTGATATATCATATGTAAACAATATTAATAGAATATTACGATATATTGATATATATCCATGAATCCGATAAAAAACAAGATATCACGACATTTCGCTTTTAATTTGAGGGGCAATTTCGTCCGAATTTTACCAAACCAAAGTTTTCTCTCTCTTGTTTTGCAAAGAAAAAAATTTGTGTATGCCACACCTAATTATTTCTCAAATAATTGCTATGCAGCTAATTGACTCTACATTTTACCGTTTACGTGTTATTTTATTTTTTTTCTTCATAGTTAGATTCTATATACAATCTAAATACTAAATAAAACAAATAAACAATTATATAATCTTAAACTAAATTTTGTGTTTTTCTAAAAAAATAACAATATATTATACATTTTAAAAAATAAACATAGACCCGTGACAATAAGCTAGCATTAAATCATTATTTGTTAGAATGCAATTTTTAATGTACTCAATAATATTGTGATTTTCGTGTAGAGAATCTTACCAAATAACTACAAAATATCAAAAATAATGGAAGATCCAAAATTTATGATTTGCGGTTTAGAAAAAATATATTCGACCCGATCCGATTCGCCACAAAATAAAGTTTGCCAAAACCCAAAACTAACCTTAATAAGTTTATCTACTTATAACACAATGACTTTTTGTGTAAATAGTTTTCAAAACAAAGGGTACTCTCTAAACCTTAATTTTAAAACCTCTTAGAAATTAAGGATTCAAGTGAACATGTAGTCACTGATTTTTCTCCTGAACCCTAATTTCAAAAACAATTTAGAAAATTATATTTTTTTAACTTTAACAATATATAAAGTCAACATGACTTTTTTGGATGAGGATAATCCAATTCAATCGCCTCAAGTTCCACGAAAACGACGTGGATCATGCAATTTTGTTGACTTCGATAAAACATGTTTTAGTTGTTCATTCTTTATAATTGGATTGTAGGCAGATAGGTGGTTACGGTGGACCAAAAATATTCAGGTCAACCCGGTTTAATTCGGTCAAGGATGAACCATACCGATTTTCATAAGTTGAAAAAAAGGGACAATTCTGGTCCGGTCCATATAGAACCGAACGAACGAATTTAAACCGAACCTGACCGGGTTAGCCCATCCCAAAATCTCAAATCGTAGTACAAAATCCAATGGTGATAAACTGGAAATTAAATAATATATACTGTGACTCACCTTTTGTAACACCAAGACTCGTTACGTTCGGTTGCAGAGCGGGTATTTCATACGTGATGAGACATTTAGTAAAGAAGATCCGAGCAAACTGAGCATGGCTGCAATACTCCGAGAGTCTTTGAACCGCAAGTCTCAAGCAGACGGTACAGTTTCTTGGATCAAGATCAGGACTACACTGGACCATTGCATGTAAATTAAATCATACGAACCCTCCAATTGAGTCACATGTTCTTGGTCCTCCACAAAATATGGAACTGGTAACGACGAAGACAGGGATGCTCTGAGGATAAGTTCGTCTAGTTTTTCAAGAAATGTTCGATTGAAAAATTGCGAAGAATCCAAAGATTTGTCCGAAGAGAATCTAGCGGTATTAGGTATATCCTCTACGAGCGTGAAGAAAGAAGAGTTCGAGTACCGAACTATACACTGTTAGAGATTACCAAAGCTGTTTTACGATAAAAGCAGGATTTATAGATTTCTAACGTTGTGGTATTGACACAGTCTGAATAAGATGTTCTGTTTAGGTCTCCTCTGCAAAGGAACATGCCATAGATTGTGTTTGGGCTAAGATCGGCCGTGGCGTTGGAATAGCTTACGATGGAGGAACGGTTGCGAAGAGTGGAGAGGACGGTATCGCGATTTGAAAGATAAGAGCTAGTTCGAGTGACATTGTTGAATTGGGTGCAATCAATAAGTATTTGAGAAGCTTGGGACATGGCTCCGAGAGAAAATGAGAAGAAGCAAAACAAAGCAGCAGCAAAGTGTGTATTGCTTCTCATCATTTTTTTGTGTTCTTTCTTGATTATTATGACTTATGTGAAAGAACAAAACAGACACATAGAATTATATAGAGACGATCCAAAAGAAGCCCAAAATAAAGTCTTATGAGAAGTCCATTAGCCCATGTAACTAGGGTTTTAGCAAGTAGAGATTCATATAAATTTGTTTTAAGAACGTAAACGTAAGGTAACCTAAAGAGTTGCTCCAAAGCAACTCTCCTCTTAACCATTTTTATGAAATCAAATTTAAAATTATTGTGTTCTAGGGACATGGTTCGAGAGAGAATAAGAAGAAAAATAGTAGAGAAACTTCAAAGTGTGCAATCGGTAGGATTGTGGCTTATGAGAAAGAACAAAACAGATCACATAGATTTATATTAAGAAAAATTAACATTGAAGATATTAGAAACTTGCCTCATTGTCATATGTTATTACGAGTTTATAATGTTTTTAACAAAACAACACAACAAAAAAAGCATAGCTAAATGCAAAAGCTAGAAACATTGATTTTTCTAAGTGATAGTGCGTCTGTAGAGAGCTTCTTTATCTCTCGTCTTCTTTTTCATCAGAAACAATCTCCTATAATTTACCCTATACGGCTAAACCCATATGACTCCTAGCAAGCATTATCAAATTTAAAGTATAGTACCAGATTAAAAAAAAGCTCCAAAACAGATTGGAAAATAAGGGGTAAAGGGGTACCTTGGACTCCTAGTCTAATCAACCTTTTCATTTGCATACTTAATAATGTCTTTCATTAGACATCCAGTGGAGACATAGTCACAAATCTCTCTCTTGGAAAAAAGAAAATCTCCTATCTCCTTTGTTAATCTTCATATCCCTCTCAACATTAAACTAATGTGATCTGACTATTTTGCCCTCACCTTCAAATAATTGTTTTAAATCCCCAAAACCATCCTTGCTCTCACAAAACCCTCATGATCTCACAAAGTTTCCTTCTCCTATGCTCTATTCAACACACATGCACTTCCACACATTGCGTGAAGCCAGCAAAAAGTCTTCTTCTTCACCTCGCAAAGTCGTGTATGTGTATAGAGGTATCAAAGATACGTTTGTCTCCGGTTGGCATTATAAAAACATGTTGCATCGCACCAAGTTGAATCAAGCCACTTTTGAGCTCATGTTTGATGCATATTGTAGAGGAGTTCTCTTATATGGACTAATGGACCCTATTGGTTACATGTGTTGAGCTACTGGAAAGGGAGCTTAGAAGATAAGGAGAACGTTCTCTTTTTGAAGTATGAGGAGATAATTGAGGAGCCTCGTGTTCAAGTCAAGAGAGTCGCCGAGTTCTTGAATTGTCCATTTACCGAGGAAGAAGAGAAGAGTGAATTGCGTACTTGCGTAATTTGAGAGATTTAGAGACTAATAAGAAGGGTACAACGAGAATTGGTATCGATGCTAATGTATTCTTTAGGAAAGGTGAAGTTGGTGACTGGAAGAATCATCTCACTGCCAAAACCATTGACGAGATCGTTGAATGTACGTAGACTACGAGGTTCCGGTTTGATATATATATATATTTCAATAAGGTTGTGTTATTTGTTTTCAAAAGTAGATCATAAATTCATAATCAAGATAGTAAAATATTTTAGATATGTATTTTTAAAACATCCCTCCAATGTGTCTGTTTTGCCTCGTTCGCCAAAAAAACAAAATAATCTAGCCCAGCTAAAAAGTCCAATCGGCTTTATCGGTAGAAGAATAAAGAAGCCGAGATGATGCTGAAATCCTAGGCATAGATTCTAACACCTTTTTGCACCCTCGAAGAATGCCGAAGATCTTCACTGTCTTTAGACACTTTGAGTTAGCGAGAATGTATGACATTAGTTGTTTCTCATCTTGTCTTCCTTCATAGTTTTTCCACCTAACAATCTCTAGATGAGACGATAAGCATTGGGGAATAGTACTCGGCTGGTTCCACGAAGATGTGGGAGAACCCTGATACCATTACATTAGTTATATTTAATATTTTAAATTCATCAAACTTAGATGTGCATATTGAAGGGATGAGGGCACTTACCTTGGTGTCGATCGTTAGAATTTTCAGTTTAGGAGAGTTTTGAAGCATAAAAATAAGTGGTTCCAACCAATATACTGGATATTCTGAAACAAAGACTAAATCTATGAGCCGAGAGAAATTAATGGCGTTACAACATGCAACCTGCAACAAAACAAACAAACAAAGAAGATTGGTTGAGGTCTTTGAGGAACAAGGAACAAAGGAGATTATGTAACCGTTACCATTGATTCGGATAAATACAAGCGGATACATCTGGCAGAAGATAGACACCTCAGAAACTTTCCATCAGGGTTAGGAACATAGCTGATGTATACCTCATCAAGGCAAAGCATATTCTCTGTCAAACTACAATAGTATCCCAAATCGTCATATATGCTAAAATCTGTTAATGCAGGGCAATCTATCACCAACGACCCAATCTGATCTTCCTCTTGCTCTGGCTGGTCGCCCCGTCTAACATAAATTAATAATTCCAATGAAGGCACTTTCACGGTAAAGTTTTTCAAGTTGTCACCCTCATCACGTCGTTGAACATCCAGTTCACGGAGAACAGGGGAACTTGATAAAAGCCTAGCAAGAGAATCTTCGTCTTTGTACACCACGTTGAGAAGATCCAGATATAAGAGAGATGGCAGGCTAGCGGGGAAAGAAACATCAACGAGGATCTGGTTGGATAGAGATAAAGAGACGAGCGTGCCGCATGTGTAAAGGCTCTTAGGGAAGCTTGTGGGCTCTCCTGTCCAGAGGAGAGCGAAATCTAACGTTCTCACGCTGTGGTTAACTGCCTTCTCAACCCACTTTCTTACATCTACGTCAGCAGGGCAATGTTCACCCAGTTCGACGACCAGGCTTATTAGTAACGGTGCCTTGTGGAGTTGCATTGACTTGTCAATAAACCACCCAAAGCTCTCGCTGTATCGGTCGTCTTTGAAGGCGAGTTTAGGCAGCATCTGCCAGATGTAACGCCATCGTTTAGACAAGATCGCAGTGGCCACCGCATCTTTTCCCGGGACAAGGATTAAGATCTGCAATAGCAAATCGTCGGGCAAATCACATATTCTCAGACAACCTTGGGTTTCTGGAACAATCCTTACCAAACCCATAGTCTCCATTGCTCATTCACCTAAAAGAATACCACATAACAAGAAGCAAAGATGAATTAAAAACCAGAACGCAAGGCAAAATTGGGAGACAAATAGCTATGCACAGAAACCATCTCAAAGGCCTCTCAAAAGCCTCAAAGAGCTAACTGATGATATCCACTTTTCCAGATCTGAAAAATCTGGAATTTATGTATCCAAATTGTTGAAAAGCGTCACCGAGAGGATAAAGGATTGTTATAGATTAATACTACAGTAAAGCAATATCAAAAAGGATTTATACATGTTCATATTGGTCATCAAATTCTAACGAAAACACTATTCGAAACCCAAATAACGGATGGGACAACGATAATCGAAGCTAAAAGGTTGAACCTTTAGAATTACTTGAACAAACCACCTACAATCATAAATGGCGATTCATGGAAGAAAGATACTAAAGAGGTTTAGGAGAATGCTTACAAGACAAAAGGATTGTTTTTTTTTTCTTTATTAAATTAACGAATCAGCCAATCTGTGGGACAGTGGGTATGCTTCAAATCCAGAAATCAACCATGAAATAGATTTAGAAAGGTAGAGAAAGAAGAAAGAAAACCACCTCAGGGGTGAATCAATGGAGGAAGAAGACGAGAGAGAGAGAAGAAAGGAGGTCACAAAATATTTGTTATTGCTTTATTCCCTTCTGCGCCGGTTTAGATATACCAACTAATAATTGATAAAAAGAAAACCGGTTTAGATATATAACCGGATTAAGAGCAATTGAAATAGCAAATATAGAATTACCAGAACTGGTCCTGTGACAATCTGATTAAGCCCTTGAGAGTACTAATCCAAGAGAAGAAAAACGCATAAATATTGAACCCAAGAGAAAAGAAGTTGAACGCATAATCAGGGACGGCGAAAGGATCATCTGATTTGAGTTGTCTTGATATATATGACCTCTCGAACCGACCTAAGAAGTTAATAGGAAAAGGAAATAGATCATAGAAAAGACAAATGTTCATTTAAGTTTATGGATCATACATACACGTTTACTAATTTTTCTTACATGAACAACTTAAGCTTGTCAAGTCTCAGTGTCTCTTTAGTTTCCTGCAACTGTTTGTAGCACACTAGTACCCATGGAACTGCAACTAGGTAAGCTTGAACTTGCAACCTGTACACATGGAGGATTAGGATTCTTCTTTTTCTTGGATGCAGGTTCTTCATTCAGTGAGATTTTGATGTTGGAGAAGGTTGGCAATCCGAAATCGGGTAAAGGTAGACTACTATCATCACTTCCTGGAGCCGCAAAGTGTTGCTCCAAATACATGCGGATTACCGAGTCATCCTCTACTTGAAATGATCTTGTGAGTGGCTCAAATGGGAAGTTTGGGCACGGTTTAAGCCAATCATTAGGGTTTTTGTCCATCATTACACTTGAACTTCCCGTCTTGCCATGCGGTTTGCTTGGTGGTGTCTTGCCTTTCTGAAGTTTTTTTGTTGGTGCTTCAATGCCTTTCTTCTTGGTGTTCGTAGATGAACATGTTTCCGTATTTTTCTTCCGCTTTTTGGAGCCACTGATGTTCTTTTCTTGAGGGTTTAAACCCAGCTCAATGGTGTTGCTAAGATCTTCCACTGATGATCTAGCATTAGAATTTTCAAAGACAAGAACAGAATGTGAAGGGGCTTCTCTGTATGGAAAGAAGACCGATTTTCCCCACTCGTTATCAGGTTCTTCCTGCGCAGAATGAGCTTTCAGAGGCTCTTTACTTGTATCGCCAGATTCCCGAGTCACTTCAACAACTTTTGATGAGCCACTTATGTGAATCACGTCACTCTCTAGGTCAATGATCTCAATGTTTCTTGTTCCTATTCCTTCGCTCCCACTTTTATTCCAATTCTTCTCTACCAAACTATCACATGCAGGTTCACAGTCCAGGTTGATTTCAACAGTAAATGATCCAGTCAAACCCGGGATCTCCCTCGCCTTATCATCACACTCAACCACAACATCATGCGAGTTCTTATCTTCAAAAGACTCAACTAGGTTAGATACAACACGAGCCTCTCCCAAACCATTTCCTTCTTTTGAAATCTCAGCTTCTGGAAGTTTGTTCTCACTGTCACTACTCATATCCTCATCTGCACAGACAAAAACTATGTGTCTTCTTCACTAACAAACAAATATCTCTGTATTATTACTCTTTGATTCCTTTTCTCCACATACCTTCAAATACACATTGCGTTTTTGCTCGAGACTCCAATTTCTGCATTCTTTCTGGCTGTAACCGTAGCTACGATAAACAAAACATAAAACTCCCATCAATACATGTTCAAGAAGAAACATAATAAAACTAAGAACAATTTCACTTACAGGAGTAGAGGTTATATTAGAGAAATTCTCCACATTTTCGACATATTCCCTCTCTGAAAAATCTTCTTCATCCTCGTCAACTGCATACGTCTTGTAAACCATAAAAACGAAAAGAAAAAAAATGTATCTATCAGCTATACTACAACAACTTTTCAAGATTCTAAATTTTCAAATAAAACCATGCATCTTACAATTTCATTACACCCGGTTCCGTATTCTTCACCCGATGAATCTTCAGATTCCATAGTGTTCTCATCTAATACCACTGTCTCCTGTGGATTGGTTTTAAAATCATTTGATGTGTTCACATTCATCTACCAAAAAACAAAAACAAATCTTTCACTCTCAATAACAAACTAATGCACAAATGATTAGTCTGTTATACCTTGTAAGGGTGTCCACTAACAGAACCAATCCCCAACTCTGCTTTCCTTTCATCCGGAAGGCACGAAGGCCTTTCGCTTGCGGTCTCTCTATCTTGTAAGGCTTTTAACTGCAGCAAGAGAAAGATAGATTATATATACAGACCAAAGAACTTGCAAAAGTCTACTCAAGAAGAACATGATAATACACTTGCTTTATTCCTCTGGATTCCTGCTTCTCGTTTTTCTCGAATTTTCTCCATTTTAATGTACTCAAGAACTTGATCCTTTGTAGATAACTTTTTCCCTGTTCTCAATTGCGTGTATGTCTACAAAATCAATGTGTAAATTTTCATCAACATGCATCCAAACCAATTCAATCAACAATGAGAGCTCAAAATTTTCATACACTTTTTCAATCAAAGGTCGGATTTTTCCTCAATTAATGGTCGATTTACGCAAATTTGTGTGTTTAAAGACTCATGTCTGCATTGTGATCAAAACACTAGAAAAAAACAAAACTTTCACATCAAAAAAGCTAAGAATCAATGTGAATTGGAAGAAGAAAGAACAGAGAACACACGAAAAGGCTCAACATTTAGAGAGTTTAAAGTAGTTAACCTTAGTTTGACGACCGCGTTTTAGAACTATAGAGTGAGCAATCCAACCGACGGGAAGCCAATCCGGCGTGGCGTCCGCCGTAATAGTTGGTGGAAGCTGACGTAACATTTTCCGATGAGAAAATTCGGTCTGGAAACAGTTTTTTTTTTTTTGCCGGTGACCAGGTTTTGTCACTGTGTGTGTCTGAGAAAGACAGAAGAAGCGATAAAATCGTTGACGTGGAGTTTATTTACGTGACACGTGACAATAATATCTGAAAGCTTTGCATGTTAATCCCTAAAGAATGATTATTAATGATATTAACCCCAAATCTTTGTTATTGGAATGTCAAGGTCATAAGCTTTGGTTGGCTATTGAGTTGGAAAGAAAGTGGCCAAAAAATTTAGCCACTAAATCGAAATTGAAATAAGTTTTATTATGAAAAATGAAGTCAAATTGACAAGTTTTTGCCGGCTAATTAAACATTTATATTTGTTCTATTACTGTTTATGTATTTGCTTTTTCTTTTGTTAAAAATCAGTGTTTGTTTTTTTGTTGATTATCTATGTAAATGATGATCTTTTCAATTAACAAAACTATGCTTGAAAACAAAACCAAAGAAAAACAAAACTATGCTTGTTAAAGAAAAACAGAAAATTGGTTGTCTTCATCTTTGAATCTTTGATTATGATTGCGTTGATTATTGTTTAAATTTTGACTCTTTTGCACTTTAGTTTTATTGATGAATAAAGATGATATTAACTATGTAAATTTTGGGTTTAATCAGTTTTATTGTAGAGATGTGTTTAATTTACATTAATTATTTTTTTAAGTCGAGAACATAAAATTAAAGAGGGTCAACGCCGTTGTCGTGCCGTGCCGTGCCGTGCCTTTGTTGACTACTCATAAAACTCATTATTATCATTTTAGCATTGTAAAAATAAACTTATTTATTTTTAAAAAGTATATAGATGTTGACTTATATTCTATGATTCTATCGTTTGTTGAATGGATGACTAATTTATTCGTTAGCTTAATGTGTTCATATATACATGTTGATTGTTGACCGATTGATTTATCGGAAAGAAAACCGAAATTTAATAGTCTAGTCTTATTTGAGAAGATTTCATAAGACTCGTAACAACGAAAAAACTTTGATCATGTCATGTTACTATCTTAGGAACGGAAACTGCAGAAATGTCGTAAAATAAATGATCTGAATTGAATATATTAATAACTCTGTCAAACTAGTAACATGCCAGATTTATATAATAAGCTATAATCAAAATATATAATAATCACCCTCTTATTTAAAATTACCAAAAAAAAAAAAATGTTACTTTTTCTTATTTTCTAATCTCAGCTCTCGTTCAAATCAATACTACAAAAGAATCATTTGGTACATATTTTCAACATCAATAGTACAAATAAATGTAAATATGAACAAAAATTATAGAAGTCTCTGTACGTATATCTATCATACATTATATCTACAAAATACAAGAAATTAAAGAACCAGAAATAAGAGAATTTGTTGACACAAGGTGAAAATATTCTAAATAAAACCCTAGACAAATTTAATATATTAAAATTTGAACTATAATAATATAGAAATATATCATTTGTTGTGAAGCGGGTTAGGACCTTCGGGAACTAATCTGGCGGAAGCTCCGTAGATCGGATCATACTTCTCGCCGGCGGTCACTTCCGATAACATTCTCTTGCCGTCAAAACTTAATCGCTGGAACTCCTCCGTCGTGGTCATACTAGGGAGCTTGCGGCTGGCCAAGGAGAAATGGAGCCCGGAGAAAATGGAGATCATGACGATTAGAAACGATAATCTTTGGCTCCAAATTTTCATTTTGTTTTCTATTCGTAAGAGTTTTTTTTTTTTTCTTGACTAATCTTGTGTTGATGTTGATGATAAGCTTAGAATTTATATTAATTACGGGATCGTGACATGGACTTGTAAGAGAAGGAAACGAACGAAATTTCTCTTAAGTACATTAAATATTGGTAACCTCTATTGACGAAACTAACCTCTCTTTTGACTATAAGAAAGTTCAAACGTATAATATAATTGTTGTGTTTAAGTAATTACTGTAAGTACTAAGTAATTATTGTGGTTTTCACGTTAAGTATTTTTGATCTAAGTAACTAGATATAGATCGATGGCCTTATATGAAATTTATAATATGACAGATTTTAATTTTGTATTGGACTTTTTCTTCATCGTTCCAAGTTCACAAATTTCTACTAAGTAACGAAATATGAGAAGAATTACAAATGTGGTTCAAAAAAAACAGAAGAATTAGGAAAAAAAGAAACTCTTAACTTTATGTATATATTTATTGTTAACTTATTCCTTGGTGTTTTAATTAATAACATAATTTTTCAATTGTAATGAGTTTGATTATTCCTCTTTATTATAGTCTCACCGTCATCGTGGAGCACGTTTTATCATTTGGTAAATTGAGAAACAGAAGTGTTTGACGTTTTCACAAATGGGAACTTGATCCAAAGGTAGTATTGTAATTTAACCCAAATGGGTGGAGTGCTCGCGTGGGTCTCTCCGATCCGTCGATGCCTTGATCACACCGTTGACTTTCAAATAATTTACTTTCTTTTTTTTGTTTGGCTCCTCGAAATAATTATTTATGTAACTTGACATCTAATTATTTACGCGTTAACATATAATATACTTCATCAGTTAGAGACAATATTTATTGATTTTTCCCAACCAATATGTATCGCTTATGAAAGTAGAAAGTCAGCCATCTATGCATTACTCCCTCTATTCCTCCAAGTTTGATGTTCAACTATTTTAGGTTTGTTCCAGAAAGATTGATTTTTAAAATTTTAATTTATTTTTAATTAATTAGTATTAATAAATCGTAAATTTCAAAACGTAATGATTGAAAATAATTATATATTCCAGATTACTATTAGTTCGTAGTTTATTAAAAAAAAAGTTTAATAAAAATAAATAATTATCAAATAATTGTTTTTTAATATATATAAAATCTCTAAAAAAATCAATCTTTTAGGAACAAAGTGAGTATTTTATAAAAGTTTATAATAATATATGTTTTGATATTTCTAGATCGTTAAGCTAGTTTTCCCAACATTTTATTCATCGACAGTCTTCAGAAAAATCGAAAGGCTGATCCGTAATTCAATCTCTGGAAGATGTCATATACGCAGTTATTCAAGACTGGTGCAACTGTGGCTGCACTAATTCACGCCTATTAAATCTCTTTAATTCTCTTGTTTATGCTCCTTGTTTCTTTTTTTAGCAAGGCGAAATTTATAGTTCTTATAACTTCTCTAAATCTCAACTTTCATTCCTAAATAATATTTACAATTTAGCAACAAAAAAAAAAAAAGAGTTTGTATAGATCTCGTTTGGAAATGTTATATTATATAGACGGTTTGTTAGAAAGAAAAAAAAACGTATAAATGGCATGTAATGTAAAACAAATGCGAGATTTAAAATATTTCAAAGTGGATTTCTTAGAATTTGTAAGCCCTTTGAATCAAGACACGTCAAGGATATATGACGATGGTCAGGCGTCAACGATAACGACTCTTGATCACTTTTAATGTTTTATAATAAAATGAACAGCTCAACGAATATGTGATCTACGTTTACTGTATACACATGACATCAGTCTATTGTTTTGACAAATAAAATTCATGTCTAAATAGTAACCATATAGTAGTAATTTTGTAAGATTATGAATTAGATATGATAATTAATAAAAGATATATTTTCTGTCTATGTATATTATTTGACAGCGATAAATATATAAAATATCGAAGACTTTGGAGAAAAAACTACTGTGGAGGAGTTTAATATATAAATTTTAAGATATTTTAATTTTGAGTTTAAGATATTATGGATCAAAAAATTGGTTGTACTTTGTAAACAAAAAAAAATGTGGAGGTAAATTATTAGTTTCTGTTATGGAGATGTTCGTTTCACCGGAAAGAACAAAGACAACAAGTTAAATTTCTGTTTTTGAAATGTTGCCTTGTGCGAATACCTAATGCTAAAACTTATTATTGAAAATTCTAGTTTATGTTTCTAGCAAAATATAACATACCACTTTGTCATTCGGAAGTTATAAGTTTTATTGTTGTTATTATGGATTTTAATTTCTATAATGAGCAAACTTAACTACTACAGTACACTCCTATAGTTTGTTCCAAAAAAAAATAAAAAAAAAGAACGATTACTCCTAAATGAACAATCCAACACATAAAAAGTAAAAACCACAACACAAAAAAACAATTTCATCAATAGCCTATAAAAAATTGCATATTTAAGATTTAAACCCAAAATTTTATGTACGATTGATAAAAAGAAAAATCATGCAGCCTATGACACCATAAATTATCTATATCTTCAACGATACGTGCATGAGCCAATTGTTTTTATAAATAAAACAAAAAGAAGAGATCTTTCAAAAATTTTGGGTATGTCGTGTAGTTGTAGATGTTACTTGCATGGTGACAATTAAGATTGAGAAAGATTTGATTATTTGGAACTCTCTTGTAAAAGTTCCTTCACTCTGAAAACCCATGGAGCCATTGAAAACTTTGTGACTTGCTTTCTCCTCAAGAAATTGATTTTATTATAATGAATACAATTATTAATCAGACTAATATGCATGTGTTTGTTATGCAAAAGGATCATATATGTACACCAGATTAATTATCTTTGTCCCTATATGCAACTAGTTAGTCAATTATTAACTTCATTTTTATTTGTAATTTATTAGTTTATAACTTTGAACTGAGATCAATGATGCTATTATTGAGCAAATCATGTATCATATGTATTTTACCCTTACTTACATAGTCAATTAGTTGCATCTCAATAGTAACGATTCATAATAAACAAACTTCCTCAAATAGTAAAATATATGATGAATAAACACATGACTTAGACAAATAAAAATTCCTGTAATTAAAAAGTAAATCATATATTAATAATTATATAACAAAATGTGTTCATACATTTATCGAGGATACATCTAATTACCAACCCGGGTCGGTTTATTTTCGGATTGGAATACCAGATATACCTTTGAGACCCATCTTAACCGCCGTTCTTCGAAACAAAGCAGGAGGTTTCTCTAAACCGATAGAATGGCAAAACCGGTTAGCTAACTCGGCCAACGTGGTTTTGTCTCTACCGGTTTCTCTAACCGAGTTGTAATAACCGAGCCAAGCATGGTACGCTGCTTCTTTAATACTTGTATCAATCTTAGCCATAGACTGATCAACCTGGTTACAAAACAATTGTCCTCAGTGTCACTTGGCAATGAAATTCATTTAGGGGGATGATAATAGTAAATTCAAACAAACCTGAAGTTTAACTCTTGAATCAAGATCTGGAACTGGAATTGGCTCAAGAGGCAAATCTTTAAGCTCATCAAGAAAATATCTCTCCCATGGAGCAATCAAAAGTAATCCTTCACCTCCTTTGCCTTCTCTCCCGGTTCTACCAAGCCGATGTATATACTGTTCTCTGTCACTCGGTATACCGACCTACCAACAACACAATACCAAGTCTAATCCGTTAAATATCCATAAAAGGTTGTTCTTAGCATGAAAATGTTGTGCTTTACCTGAATAACCAAAGTAACATCTGGATAGTTCATTCCACGAGCAGATACATCAGATGTGACCAAAATCAGTCTTTTTGATTCCTTAAACTCGTCTGATACACGTGTTCTATGGAGCTGAGGTTTTCTAGCATGAATCTCCCTAACGCTCAATTTCATTTCCCGGAGCAGAGTATACATCAGTGATGTTACCATACCGGTTGAGCAAAAGACTATTATCTGCGAGAATGAAATTGAATAATTATGAGAATTACCGACGTAAGAAAAAAGGCGCTTGTTTAGAGGATTTGTTTTACCTTGTAATCAGGCGTGTTGTTGATGTGCTCTTTTAGAAGATGAGGTACCAAGTGGAAATGAGATTCGTGTGGAGCAACAATACAAGATTGCTTCACCTGAAACCAAAGCAGGAAGTTCAATAACTAGATTCAAATAACAAGCTGTTGAGACAAAAAGAAGAGTTTGAGATTTTAGTATTTTACCTTATCATGAGTCTCTACACAACCAAGACCGATTGTGTCGATATAAGAGTGATCCCTTTTCAAAACAAGCTGTGAGACCCGACGGACCTGAATTTAAACTAACTTTCAGCCGTGTGTGTTCGCATTGGATTTTATGATAAAGTGAACAAATATGAAGTTAGTTATATAGCAATTGTACCTCTTTTGGAATGGTTGCGGAAAAGAGAAGAGATTGTCTCTGACGAGGCAAACAATCAATGATTTTTTCTACATCTCTCCTGAATCCTAAGTCAAGTAAAAGATCAGCCTCATCAACTATAAACAATTTCAGCGCCATCAAACGCGATGTTAACCCAGACTTATTCTCTATATGATCCAAGAGTCTTCCCGGAGTTGCAATTAGTATCTGCAACAAGGTACAGAAAGAAAAGAAGATTCACCACAACAACTAGAAATATAAACAATTCCTGTAAAACAGAGAATCACGGTTGGTCAAACCTGGCATGGCTCAGATTCTAGGCGTTGCTGATCAAGTTTGAAGCGGGTACCACCAATTAGAGTCTGAACACCGATCCCGTCATGGTATTTGAGCAGAGCCTTGCCCTCCGCAGCGATCTGGCTAGCAAGTTCTCTTGTGGGGCAGAGGATAAGAGCAAAAATCGGAGCAACTTTGTGAACGCCATTACCGCTGTTCATAGCTTTCAGAACTGTTTCAATTGCAGGAAGCTGTTTTTTCAATCTAACAGCGTTATCTAAAGAAACAACAAAAGCAAAAGGCCCATGATCTCAGGATAAGGGATTGTAAAATACCAAAAACGCCATGCTTTTTCCTGTCCCGGTTTTGGCTTTGACTAATGCATCTTTACCTGCTTTACATAAAGGATAATACATTGTCAAATGCTAACCATTTGAGCAAAAAGAAGAAATTAAAACCAAACTACCAAAGCAGAGTAGTCAGAGAAGAACCGGGACAAGAAACGAACTATAAGAATACATACCATCTAGGCACTCAGAGAGAGTGGCATCCTGTACTCTAGTCATCTTAACAATGCCAGACGCAGAAAGCGCCTTTAGCGTCAAAGGAGATATACTAGACTCATCAAATCTGCAACCATTTACAGAAAGGGAAAAAGCTTATCAAGATTCAAACTTGACAAATCAAAATCCTTTACACAGCGCGTTTTAACATACCTTTTTCCACTGTAAATCGAGTCATGAGGCTCTCGGTTCTCCTCAATTACATTATCCACAGATTTTCTTTTACTAAGATCTTCTCTGACTGTATTAATATCCAACGGAGGATATAGCTCTTCGTCCGTGACATTACGATTCACTCTTTTCGTCAGTTTGATATCATGGTTTCCTAAGGCCGCACTGCTTCCCATTTTCCTCAAATCCAACCAAACGTTCATCTTTCCCTCTTCACCTTCTTCCTCTGAATCCTCTTCAGTAGAACTATCATTCTTCCTAAACTTCCTTCTTCCAAACAAACCTTTGTTCCTTATAACTCCAACAACATTCTTCGAGCTCTTCACTTTCTCCTTGGTACCCGCAAATTTAGGAGAAAAAGGACTCAAAGTATCTAACTTTTTAGCATCAAAGTCATCTCCTTCATCACAAGAACTCTCATTTCTCTTAAATCTACCTCTACTCATACTCGAAAAACCTCTCCTACTACGATCGAAAACCCGACTATTACCCATTGAATAACATGTCCCACTAACTAACTTCCTCACATCAATAGACGAATTAGAAGAAGAATCAATCGAATTCGAACCTGACCGTCCATTATCCCTACGAGATAATCCCGACCCATCATCTGATTCCTTCATCGGCCCATCGTTCTCGTTCCACAAATCTTCTGCTCCAGCTTTCATAAACCGATCAGCCAAGGTTTTGATATGTTCTTTCGGGCTCATTGGTCCGTGACTTTGCTTCGATTTCGCCGTTTTCTCGCCGGAATCTGGATTACCCCACATTTTAGCTCGGATCTCGGTCCTAATTCGAGCTTCGTAAAGCTGTTTCTCTTGATCCAAGAGCTTGTTCTCTTTCTCTCTAGCTTTCTTCTCGTGCATACGTTTCCATTGCCACTTGTTCAGTCCTCCAGGGAAGGTTCTCGGACCACCACCCATGTTCCGTGAGAAGATTCGGCTCCATAAGGACCCTGTGAAGGATCCAGATCGTTCCCGGAGAATTAACGAGTACATTTTCCGGTGACTTATTTTTCCCAGACGAAATGCTTATTTTGTTATTGAGGTTTTAGGGTTTAAGGCAGAGTAAGCGCTTCACTAATATATCCGGTCTGATTTTCAACAAAACTCGGTATGCAATTGAACCGGTTAAACCGAAATTTAACTACAATTGTCCATGTACTACTTGAACCGGATATCTCATTTTCTGATAAAAAGACCAGATTTTGATATCAAAATCCGGTTTGTTTAGCTTTTGATATCCGGTCTGATTTGCATAAGAAATAGGCTTATGCGATTGAACCGATAAATAAAATCCTTAAAAGCAAATCAAAAGAGATTTTTCTACATTATGCATTATCTCATCAAATCTTATTTTTAAATCTGTTTTTTTATTTATTTATAAATTGACTTCCATAATACTCTCTTTTGATGAAGGGAAACAAAAAGGTGAATTTTTGTAAATCCAATCAAATTTTTTCCTGTTTTAATATCTTCAGTTTCAAAAAACACACTGATTACACAGTAAAAAGAATGAAGAGAAGTTGTTGCTCTTGTGTCTCTCTTGGAAGCATTCACCAACGCAGCGTGGGATATCTCTGAAACTTGAAGAATCTTTAAACCGGGCTTCGATTTCTAAGCTTTGGATCGGTAACTAGCGGCATTTCTTCTCGCGCAGCATCCAACAAAGTAAACCATCGACTGTTGTGTGTTTCAACAAAGAAAACAACCAAATCATTTCTCACAAGAACAATTCAAGATCAGTTAAGTCGAAAAAAACTTGTTTTATAATTGTTGTAGACTTGTAGTTGGGATTAAAGATAGCTTACCAAGACAACAAACAGAACCACATTGAAGATCGCAACAAGTCGCCACTCGGTTTTCATGTACTGAGCTACTCCAGCTCTGCGGTTATTAATCAAACGAACAGAATAATTAGTTTATATCTGAAAATGAATGAGACCATTGTAGCAAAAGAGCTTTAAGGGGGAAGTTGATGGCTCTACTTGCAAGAATCACAATTGTAGCACTTGATGGTCCTCAAATTCTTGTAGAGCTTACAATCTTTGTTAGAACTTATCGAATGAAAGCTCAAGTCATAGTAAGAAGCATTCACCGCAGGATAACCACACCTTCGCATCGAAACAAAATTGAGACAGTTAAAGATTTTGCGGTAAATCAACAAATAAACAAGAAAGAAGAGGCATATATATACTCAGATGGTGGTCGACAACATCCAGCTTCTATCGGGGTTAATTCTGCGGATTTTAATTGTTTGATGGTCTGAAATCATTAGTAAAAATCAAGAACATTTCAAAGATAATCAGTGTCGAATATTCGGTAATATAAGGCATTTTCTTGGTGGAAAGATAGTAGACCTTGTATTTCTTGGAAAGCTTCCTACATTGCTCGGATTTAACAAGACAACTCTTTAGTCTTATCCAGTTACTGGTGTTGTTGAGCTGAAACATCAACGAGAATTAGAAAAAGAGAAAATGAAAGCAAAGTTCTTTACAATTCTATATCCGCGCCACGGTAAATTATAATACCTGTTTTAGAAACCATGAGCTGTAATCATTCAGCTTATACTCTTTGTACCTAGTTTGAGGTAGAAAGTTTCAAGAATTTTCCAATTTATACATTGAAGTAAGTATGTAACCGACGAGATATAAGTTACAGTTACCTTAAACCAGGGTTAGTATGGCCAGAACCATTGTTTGTTACAATGAACCTGTAAAACCCCGAAAAAGAGAGCAACAAATGAGGTCTTTAATGATTCAACAGCTGAGTTTTCATGATTAACCACTAGAAAAATGAGGCTTACGCTAGTACGGTAAAGACAAGAATCGCGATCAAAACGATCAGGAGGACAGCAAGATACTTCAAAGGAGAATCAATCATGTCAAGGAAGATTCAAATCCAAAATTTTCCAACAATAGAAACAGAAAACAGAACATGAAAAGTAAAGGATACAATCCAAAGAAGCGCCACACTTCTCTTGCACGCGCCAAGAAATCCGATTATGGATCTGACAAACATCAGATCATAGACATTTCATGAACAATAAAGCAAACACAAAAAAAAAAAAAAAACAAACAAACAAACATAAGGAAGAACCATTGTTGTGTAATGCCAATAGTGAAAGTAGTGTAAGAAACTCACATCAAGAAGATGAAACCACCAAGAGCTATGACTGGAAATGTAAGTGACCTTCTGCAACCATCATTGTGTGTACTCATCCACACCCCAAATATTATCACTGCCACAGCCAATAGCTTCACCAAAAGTGCATAGACATTACTATAAAGTTGCAGAAACAATCAACATTGAAAGGTAGAAACTTGCACATTATTAAACCTAAAGCAGTGGAATTTCACTAAGAACCTTCATAAGACAGAACCATAATCTAAGTTGTACGGAAACCCAGATTCTAATCCATTAAAGAGGAATCAAAGGACGATCAAATGCGGTTCTCAGAATTAGAAACTAAGTAAAGAAGAAGAGGTTTAAGCTAACCATTGTAAGAAGATTGACCCATCTGATAACGAAAGTGCTTGTGCCCATACCCATTTTTTCAAGATTCTTTCTTTTGAAAAACCCCTCCAAAGAATTAAAGAAAGACACAAAATTTAAAGAGAAAGATGCAAACTTTGGTTCAGGGTTCTACAAAAGATTGCAAGAAAACAAATGGGTCAGTGAGAATTTAAACTTCTCATGGGGTCTTTAATCAAAAGAAGAAGAAGAACTGAAGAACGAAAATGACTTGAGGGTATTTTAGTCAATAAAAGAAAAAACAGCTCATGCTTAGTTTCAGTTATCGATGGATGGGGTTTAAGAACAGACACGACACGACATAGTAATAAGAACAATAGGCCAATGTACAAACGTATACGTTTGACTCGTGCCAAATCCTAAAGAGCGACCGCTATTCGTTGTTTCCTTCTTTTCATAAAAGTTTTATTATTGGTTCTTTAATCTGTGGCAATTTCAAGATTAGAATGTGTATTACTTTTTCAGAGCATGGATTCTTTTGTCTGATGACCAAAAGCAAAAGATTTATTTGTCTTTTCAAAAATTATAGTTAAGTTATTTCAATTTTAGGTTAAGTTTGTGAAATTTCCTAATTAATCCATTCCATTAAATTTGGACTTTGGATTTACTAAACTCCACTAACCAAATTTGCTTGAGAAACTAACATTCCATTACACGAGATAAAACTCTCTTAAATATAAAATCTCTTTGATTTCTCTACTAAGAAATGTCTGCACGATCAAGCATATCAATCAAAGTCATTTTCCTTGGAAATCTAGGAGGAAGCCTCAAGATCATAGCATCTTCAATCTCGATAGGAAGATGAGTTGCGACAATTACAATCCCTCCTTTTTTCCTATGCTCTGCGATAATATACTCGAGCAATCTAACTCCTTCATCATCCAAAGCAACGGATGGTTCATCCAATAGCCAAATCGGTCTGTCGATAGCGAGGAGCCTCGCAAGTTGCAATCTTTTCCTCTGACCCATGGATAACATTCTCGATTTCTCTTTCACCAGTCTCCCTAAACCCATTAGCTCCAATGCGGGTTGAGCTTTGCCGATTTTATTCTCGAGAAGCTCAAACCATTGGACATTGTCGAGTACTGTGAATCTCTCTTTGATGGCGTCTTTTAAAGAGATCCAGTTGAGTTGGAGTTTGTATTGTTGGAAAATTCCTGATTGTGTGATGTCGTGACCGTTCCAAAGGATTTCTCCTGCAGAGGGTTTTGAGAATCCAGCTAACATTCTCAAGAATGTCGATTTACCGGATCCATTTGTTCCAGTTAAGACAAGTGCACCACCGTCATGAAGAGATACATTCACGTGTCTTAGAATCTGCTGCGCGTTTCTCATGCAAGAGACGTTTTGGAGAAGAAGCCGAGGGATTTGAGGCCTCCTGATAGACATTTTGGGACAAGACTTCCGCCCCGATATCTGAAGAAATAAAAGTCATTAAAGAGGATAAGTAATCTATGAACAAAAGGCTTATGAATTATACAGATTAAGTTCAGAAACAAGATTAACAAAGAACAGAGAGCAATAAATCTATATAAGAAAAAATGATATAACAACCTAAATTTGAGAAAGAAAACAAATTATTCATTGTTAGTCTAAGTAAGAACCATTTGTAAGTGGTTTAACAGTTAAAGGACAAAACACAAACTTTCACTTGGATTACTCCAAAAAGCAAAGCTTTAAGGAAGAATAGACTCATGGTAAATGCTTGTATACATCTGTATCCATAGAAGAATCTACCAATTTCAAAACTGATAAAATTATCCAGATTCTATTGGTTTTGATCCTAGAGCTGAC